AAAAAATTTTTTTAAGTTTTTGCTAAATTTGGGTCGGCGGGTAATGTTAAACGAAAATTTTTTTTTGCATGGCCTTAAACACTGACGGAAAAAATTTCACATTATTGCCGCAGGTTGCACACCGAAAATGTGTACAAGGTTCCGATCTGAATGCCCACGTGATAGTCCGGATAACTACTTCGGAATGCAAAATAAATTTATTAAAAATATAAAAAACACCAATTTATCAAATACACATTTAACAACTAATTTTTATAGATTTATTATCGTTATTTGCGCAATAATAAAATATATAAAAACATGCCGATATATAATAAATTTATCGAATACACATTTACTAACTAATTTATTTGCAACTTTTAATTTTGTTTATTTTCGGCGATGCTTTTTGATAATTTGTGTATTTTTTTTGGAGCCTTTCTTTTTTTGCGCGTACTCATAATGGTCGGGTCATTGTTTTCTTGAGATATCTTATGTTTTCTTCGTTGAACAGATGCTGGCTGTACCCTGATTTTGGCACCGCTTCAAATCGATTCAGCTCGTGTAGTAGAATTTCGTTGATAAAGGTAAGAAGCCAACTTTCCATCTGACAAAGATTCAGCTTTTTCATAATCTTTTTTAAAATATTCGAGACCCGCAAGTAATTGACTACTATTTTTTGCTTTGTCTATAATACGATGAAAGAAATTTTCAATAGCTTCAACACGTGTACTCATATCTGCTTCTGCTTCATTAATAGATTTACTAAATAAAAAATAGAAAATAAAAAACGAATAAATAAAAATATTTATGTACGAATGTACGTACGTACATACGTAGTAACTTTATATCTAATTATGCTATATTACCAAATATTCACATAATCACCATCGTCTGCAGTAGGCATATCTTTGTTACTATCCGGATCAATATTTTGTATGACTTTTTCAGTCCTTTGATTATTTTCTTGCATAATAGGTGTATACAAAGATGCATAAAATGTGGAATCTTTTGCAACAGTCCTTTTTAATTAAAAATATGTTAATATTTTTTTAAAACTGTACCTTCTTTTATACAAATAAAATCGAAATGTATATATAATGTAATTTACCACAGGCAATATAGTGATAAGTCATACAATCATCAATAGAAAGAGCGAAAATAAAATTAAATGACCCTTCATGATATTTAACGGCAATAGCGGCTTGGTGTTTACAAGGTGATCCTCCAAGTGCAGCAATACATGTGCATGTTCCAATAGATGGATCGACTGTATAAGTTTTACCAACCGTCATTGTACTTGGTACAATGTATAATTTATTAATGATATCACATTGAATTGCTTTTTGATTTACCATTGTCCATTCGGGACAAAGAAAACGCTTGGATAATTCTAAGTGACCAGGATGTCGATTAGCAATACTCAACAACTGTCTCTCGTAAAAACGTTCCATGTTTGTTACAATAAGTTGAAATATTTGTACAACATTGTAAGCTTGGGTTCTCCCAAAAACAATGTCCTTTATAATTCCAATGCTCCTTTCTACGTAGTTATTAGTATGATTGTTACGTAGTAACAAATCTACACGATATAACAGTGCCCAAGAATTCTGTTGTTCCCAAAGAAGTGTGCAATGCGATACAAGTTGTCGATATTTAGTAAAATATAGTTCCTTGAATTTAATAAACTCTTCATTCATGTTAGGAATCGTAGATGTATATAAGATGGATTTAAAAGAATTTATGATAGGAATACGATCATCTTTGTGAATTTTATGGTTTGAATCATATAACCAGCACCAAAAGGCCTGTAAAACATGAAAAATACATAGTAAGCGAGTACAGGTTGGCCAACAAATTTTTAGTGCGTTGCGTTCGGTGTTAGAATTATCAGTAATAATAACACGGGGGCCAGTTTGTGGCCCACGTTCATAAAAAGCATTGGTGGGCAAGATAGGTTTAAGTAAATTAATCATGTTTTCAAGCGTAACTTCAGCTTCATCAGATGATAAAAATATTCCTAATGGAAGAGCGCCAACTATGCAACTTGAATAAAGCAGACTAATAGATGTATTAAGTGGATCAAGTGCAGAAGACGCATCTAAGTAACAAAGTTCAGCCTCACAAATCTTTTTATGTACTCTTATCATCAAATCCGTAACAATACAGAGAATAAAAGGTGTACTTGTTGTTGAATTATATAGTTGAAGAATTGCCTTCCCATCATTTGATTCATTATATTGATCAACCATCTCCTGCAGTCAATCAAACATACCTTTTCCATTTCGATTACCAAGTTGAGTAATTCGAAATTGGTTATAAAGATTCTGAACAAAGCCTCTATCCGGATTTTTGGCTCGATCGGCCAACAAATGTGCAAGTTCATCATCGTCCGACACAGATAAGTGCAATTTATCTTCGTATATATGTTTTTCTGAAGCTGCTGTATGTCCTATACTAAACAAGTCTTCGTATTGTTTTTGTGTTTCACATTAACTGGATGAAAGCTAAAAGAAGCGGCTGAATTTGGCAAGTGATTATGGGTGAATTGAAGGTTAATCTCTAATGGATGAGAGGTTGTGAGGCTAGACGTTTTTAGCTTAAAATCAAGTGTAGCTGTGCAATTCGTATCTCTATTTCGTAAACTGTTGGGATTTTTAACTTCACGGTTCTTATTTTTTTGTTTTACTCTATTGCTATGAATACAGTGACGAGACTCCCGAAAAACCACTTTGCTTCCTTTGACTGGATAGTTTTTGTCACCTCTTGAAAGTCATTTAACCAACTTAAAGCATGTTTTTTATTATCAACATACACATACAAATTTACACTAACTTGTCCAATATTCACGTTTTCAGCTGTAATTATTGGTTCAAGTTCAGAATAACCTTTTATTTTATAATTGTAACCCGACGGAAGAATTTGGTGAAGTGGGGTTGATATATCAAGTAAATTAGGTTTTTCTCTTTGCATTTTTTATTACTTTTTAATTGACGATGTGCTCAAGTACAATATTTTAATATGGTAATAAAAAGAAGTTTTGATAGGGATTGATATATTTAATGATCCGGAATGGCTATCCGGACTATCACGTGGGCATTCAGATCGGAACCTTGTACACATTTTCGGTGTGCCCGCAGGTTAATATTAAAATCATTTTAATATAAAACTTGCGGCATAATATCAATTTTTTCCGTAAGTGTATACGTCATACCTGCCGAATAAACTAGTTATCCGGCATGATGGTGACGAATACAGATTAACAGAATAATAACAACGCACGTGGCCGAAGGCCACGTGCTTTTGTTATCATCCTGCCAATAACTGTGTATTCGTCAGATCATGCCAGATTACAAGAAATTATTGGATGCTTCGCATCCAATAACTATATATTATATGATAGTCACATTTCATTGTGTATTTTTAGATAACAGGTTTTCTTTTAAACGACGCTCACATATGCATGTACATAATTTTATGTTAAACATTTTTTTGACTGATATAATAAGATGTATGAATTATATTTCAAGAGCGAATCTTCTTATAATCACTAAATAATTGTAGGGCTTGTGTAATGTTAAAAGCGCGAGAATCTAAAAGTTTTTCGTTTGTATCATTGAAACTGCCTCTTACGTTTTAAAAAAAGAAAAAAAAAATTAACCTGATCCCAACTTACCCTATTGTTAGTACAGTAAAGCTCCGAATGTAACCAATAGAGCTTTAAAAAAAGAACTCAATGGATAATAGTCTATTAAATTCTATTAACTTTATCACAACTTGATTACATGATCGTCCTTTTATGGTTGGTATTATCAGTAAGTGTACTGCAGTACTGTACATTTAGTTTTTTGTCATACCCTACGTAATTTTTCACATTGTGATCGACACAGAAATTACCTCATTTCTCCGCAGTAAAGGCCGTTACATTTCTATGACTACACCGAAGAGCCCGATTACTACATTTTTCGTCGATTGTTACTTCATTACCCACCCTTACGCAATACTTTTTCATTTCTTCCCATTATTACATTCTTTTCATTCATTACCTTATCCTCACGACATTCTCGCTTATTGCGAGTAACTTTCGCTAACAAGTAAAAGAGAGATAACAATCTTGTATATAGAATTCATGACTGTAAATAAATAACTTGTTCGTACGGCATCTCTAATAAAACACTCACCCACATAATTTATGCTGCACCCAAAGCTAATTTGATATTGTAAAGAATAAAATTTTCTTTTCCATTACTTTATTTTATTCTATTTTTTTTTTATTAGTATAGTTTTACCCCTATAATTTTGGATGAACTATAGAATAGCGTGTACTAATACACTTGATAATCACATTGTGATATCTGGTTCAAAATATGCTGTTGTA